CATCTCGGCCTGGCCACCACCATTGTCATTCTCAAACCAGGTCTCAGGTCGGGTCACATCAGTGTAAGCTAAACTGTGTGAGGTGGTGCAGTGCCAATATCGGTTCATCTGTAAATGCAACTGGAATATCTGATATTACTTTGATGAACAACTAAATGTAGATGAGTAGTTGGTTTCAACTTTAAGTTAGTCTGGTGTCTCTATAGTAGAAATGACACACCAGGAAGTGATTCGCTTTGCCTGCGCCCAAAGATGGTCCTTGTTGGGTGTTGTTGGTGTACAGAAGATGAAACAAACCAGAATATTGACTTAGAAAATGCCAAGATGCTGCATGGTGGTTCATAACACATTAAGACATGATCATTTGACGCTACAGTTTCTAAGTATCTAAGTCTATAAGGGCTTTTCCATTATAGGAACCTACCGAAACATGTTGCATCGAGTAACGCTCATCACGGGTTCTGTGTTTGTTCCCACTAGTGCACCCGCTTTGGAGGTGCATTCTGGGAGCTAAATTTCAGCACCCCTCAAGGTTGTACTAAAGTAGTACCAGGAATATGTGGGAGGACAGGCTGCTTGTGTGCAGACCAGTTATCGGTACATTACACACACCCTGTGTAAACACACAACTTTGTATGAGAGAGGAGCAGCCCCTCCCTCCTCTAAACAGAGACCAACAGAGAAAATACAGTGAAAAAACAAAGCAGGACGGTCAGTGTCAACCCTGGGGGCTATGCTTGGTGATGGTTAAGGGAAGTACAAGGCATACTGCTCATTAGGTTCCAATAGTGGAAATGCAGCATATGTGTATGGTAAGGTATTTCGGTATAGTGTATGTACATTTGTTTGGCCAGTACAGTAATGGTGATGAATATGCACTCTATGGCAGCAAAAGTACCCCCGGAATCAAAGCTTTTGCTTAAATGTGGACTGAAGGTGCACTTTTCTTTTCTCAAAATGGTATTTTACAGCCCTGCTGATACATGATACAGGTCTGTCTCTTCTACTCAGAGTGTGGCCTGAGGCTTTTTCTAAGGCACGGTATCACTGGTCATAACCGTGTGTTTTCTCATTTCTTCACCTTGCTAGCTCTCTCCTTATCCCCTCATCTCCTAGTCTCTCAACCCTCACCCCTCACCTTTAAACCATTTAAGTATTCAGTGGCTTTGTTCAACCCCCATAACTGCGTGACCCACATTACTCGAGAGAGAGTATAAAAAAGAAAGGTTAAGGAAAAAGTGTGAGAAGAGAAAAATAAAATCATCTGGAGACTTCATCAATTTTTCATGAATTTTCATTTAGACTGTAAGAACCCTCTTACAGCAATCGATAAATCAAGCTGCTGTCACACAGTTAGTACCTGGGGGCTGCTGGAAGGCCCTCAGGAAGGCAGGGGACTGGATCAGAGGAAGAGACCAAACCCCTCCTCTTCAGACCACGGTCCATTTCCCAGTGATCACAGACCAACTACTCATCCTCCTATTATTGTAATCACCTTAAAAATACATTTACATGTCATGTGGAAGATATGATTTCTGCTGTCTCTTCTTGTTCAAAACAAATGTTTAGTTTGCTTAAACTAAAAGTTTGTTTACTAAGCAAAATACAAGTTTAGGTTAGCATTTTGCCAAACTGCTGACAGAAGTTAAGTACAGTTAGCTCTACAATGTTTAAAGTTCATGACATATATCACAATATGATATGTCAAACTCTCCATACCAAGTCATGTAAATCAAGCCCCCCCCCAAAAAAAAAACTGTGAATACCACTAAAAACACATATTACACATATTATAGTGGGACTGTGTCTCATTTTAGATCTATATTACTAGTGGCCTACTGGCATCACAAGACTTTCAGCTCCATCTTAGGTTCACGGGAGTTGCTACATAGGAAGCCCAGTCAGACCCTTTTGGGGGGAAGGCTCATCTTCAAAGGTAATCGGATCCATAGCTCAGGTTTTGCCTGTCAGTGTTCACCAACAGGTCCAGGTGGCCTGTGTCAAATGTCCATTAGAACTTTGATGTGTAATTGTCATTCTACCCCCGCCCACCTATGAGAGGCCCATGACTGTCATGCCCTCACAGTCCTAACATATGACCTGACAGGAGCCTTATGTCCAACTCAGAGATCTGCAGACAACTTCAATAATACTCAGTTGAGGTAAAAATACATCCAATTTATGTTAAAACCTTGAAAAACGCATTCTGTGCAGCTCATTATCCCACCAAACAATGACAAACACAACAAGACCATAATAGAGGTTAACTGTCCCTTTTAGATTTAAAGGAAATTATTAAAGCATTCCCAAATAAAGGACATTGAGTGCAAAGTAAAATCATCTTTAAAAATTGTGTAATTATAGGTACCTAAAATTAAACATTAACTTGTCTACTGTTTCCTTCCAGGAAAGACAATGCAGTTTTGTATAATTTGTACTGCATGTATGAATGGAAGAAAAGACAATATAATGATGACAGGAAATGTTAAAATACTATCTCTTAATTTTCTTGTACTGAATGTAAATCCAGTCTTTCCATCATCTACAAGCAATATCAGGACTGTCCATCAAGCCAAAAACATATTATACATAAATGATATGGGCATAATCATTTCAGCTGGAAGGAGGGAATATTAAAAAGAAAGAAGACACTCCTTACTCACATGCTACTTCCAAAGATGCGTTGCGGCTGACAGCTTCTCCCAGGTAGTTCCGGGCCACGCAGACGTAGGCTCCCTCATCCGGTTTGCTCCGTCGTCCGTGAACGATGCGCAGGAAGAAAAGCGAGCCACTGGGCAGCAGCATGCGGTGAGAACGGGGGTCATCTTTGTCCGTTTCCACCCGCTCTCCATCCTTGTACCACTCCACTGTCGGGGTTGGCCGTCCCTCTGCCTTACAGTTGAGAGTGGCGGGCTCACCTTTGGATACAATCAGGTCAGATGGGTGCTCCACAATCCGGGGTGGGGAGTCCTCCTGGCGCAGACGGGATCCTGAAGTAAAAAGTACAATTAATCATACAGGAAAATCCCAAAAACTTTGAGGCTGGTTTCTAGTCAGTGTTTTGATTAAACATACATTCTCAAGTCAACTGCCAGCAGGGAAAATTGTAGGAATGCAATGGTTAAACTAATTAACTAATAGAAACAGATTCAATAAACCATATAGCCTGAAGCACCTCTGGATTCCACAGAAGGAGCTACAGGATGTAGCTCAAGAGCAATGTTAATTTTATCAACGAAAACATTGACGAAAAAGAATACCGACAACTCCTTTTCATGAAAACATTTACCATATGATTGATAGTAAAATAGTAGCCAAGCAATAAAAGCCATGACAATGTCATTTTCAGTGAGAAGTACAAATGAAATTATTGGGTACTGTAAAAGGTGGCCACATAGATAATATGTTATGTTTTCACTTCAAAGTCCTGTCATATGTAATGATTTACCGGTCTCTAAGAAAAAACTGTCTCTCTTGAAGTATACATATTACAACTGATTTAAAAGCACTTTAAAAAGGTCTTTAAGCCTGACAGCTTGTTTTGTGAAGGAAAGAAATATCATCTTCAAGGGATAACATCATACTGTAAGTGAAATCGAGACAACAAAGCAGCTGGGAGAAACCTTAAAAACACCCAGCACCCCACTACATTTTCACCAGAAGACTATGACTGACAAAGCAACGCAGCAGCGTGGTGGTTAGTGATCTTGCCAGGGCCTTTCTGTGTGGAGTTTGCATGTTCTCCCTTTGCCTCCATGGGTTCTCTCCGGGTACTCCGGCTTCCACCCACAGTCCAAAGACATGCAGTTTAGGTTCATTCGCAACTCTAACTTGCCCATATGAGTGAGTGTAAGTGGCTGTTTGTCTACATGCCCTGTGATAGACTGGCGACCTGTCCAGGACAGACCCCGCCTCTCGCCCAGTGTCAGCTGGGATAGGCTCCAGTCCCTCAAGACGCTATGCAGGAGTAAGTGGTATAGATAATGGATGGGTGAATGGACTATGACTGACAATAATTCTGAAACAGGTGTCAAAAATCAGTGCTGAGAGGAAGGACATCTGGACTGCTCTTCTTAGCTTGCTGCCACCCTAACCCAGACCCAAACTAGTGATGGAAAATGGATGGGTAACTCTAATAGTTACCTAAACCTAAGCTTGCCTTAACTTAAAAGTATGTATAAGACATAGGTGGAACCCTTTAATCATCATTTCTGGCCACCATCTGCTCTTTTCAACTATATATGCAATGGCTTGTGGGTAATTGGACCCAAGGGTGAACAGTGAATGGGGGAGTACAGTCAGCTGAACTATACACACATCCAAATTATACATTTGGCTTGCAGTGGGGTGCAAACAAGTAAAACAGTTGAGCCCATTGTTGTAGAAGTATACATGTGATGTGAATTTGAATGCCAGGGTCCAGACTAATGTCAAATGTTAATCCTCTGTGGCTGAAAGCCCTGGCCAATTCCTTTTTATTAAGGCTTGCAGTGGGTGAGCTCTGGGAGCCTGGCAGCTAAGATAATGCTCCCCAAGTCAGAGTGTTCATTGCATGTGTGACTAGGTCTTAACCATGTAGATAAGATGCTGTAGGCCACACACATTTCCATCACAGAGGCCCTGGGAACCATGCAACAATCAAAGAGTTTTATCCAGCATCAAACGAAGAAACAGCAAAGAGAATGGGGAATGAGGCAAACTTTTCCAATACCCAATTTTTTTTTATCCTCTTTCTTTTGAACCCGGTTAAATATTCCATTAATAACACTGATTCAGTTGTTAACAGGCCAGTGTTGTGTTGAGTGCTGGGCCCTTTGTCTTAAAATTAGTTGATGCAGGTGTGAATGTGATTGAGCTGAGTTGATGAATGTGCCCTTCCCCAGGGCAGTGCAGGGGGGTAACAGAATGAGGCCTGCTGTACAGAAGAGCAGTGTACCACATATGCCTTTGTGCTTATGTAAGGGCTAATTTCAACATGGTATAAAGGCAAAACAGTGGAGGTTCCAGCTCTTTGTTTGGCTGGGTGTGCATATGTTCCGCTACCCTTTATACTTGAATGTCCCAGGGGAAACAAAGACAAGCTATACCCCAGTCTTTTCTGAGTCTTTGGGCAAAATGACAAGTGCAGGTAGAAACCCACTGATCAGCACAAAGTACACTTCAAAGACTCTTGGTGTTGTGAATATGTGTGCATACATTCACACACACACACACACACACACACACACACGTTACACTCTGTGTAAATGTGCACTAGTTCACCATTTGTCTTAACAGGGATCAGGCGTCAGGCAGTGGCATATTGACCCCCACACACAGGAGATAATCTGTTCTCTCTTCTTCCTAATTTGGGCTAATTCCTTCCATTTCCCAAACATTGATTAGTGATCCGGCCTAGTGTCTTGCTTTAAGTGGGGCTACAAACAGGGGTTTGTAGTAGAGGGGGTGGTGATATCCTGCTACCACAGAGCATGATCTAATCTCATTGACATATACTGTATGTGGAAAAGTAAACCTGTACTAATGGCACTGGAACAAAAACCTAAAGTATATTACTAGCACTTTTCTACCCAATTTCGTTCACCAGTGGTAGGTAAGAGCAACCAAGGCAGCAGCAAGTTTCGCTGTCAGAGCAGGGGCAGAGGGGCACGTTTGTATTCTGGCAGTAAGTGACCTAATAAATGAAGCAGTAATTAACACCGTGACATTGATTAATGGAAGGCAAGATAAAGGATGAACATGGAGACCCCCATCTCTCTCATACGGAGTGTCAAATGCACATTTATTCTTATCTCATTTGAGCATCTGCTTCCCCCATAATCCACAAACCCTGCGGTGGCTTTCCACTAAGGCCAATGCACATGCACAGCACTCAATTGTAGCAACTCTATTCGATTTATATCAGTTTAATTTCTTTAAATCCAATTTGTATTCCAATCTACTGCCTTCTAATCACTTAAACACTGAGCCTCCATCTGCTCTCCTCCTTCCTGTGGAAATAAACACAGCAGACGCCTCTACAATTGTCCTTTCACTGCCAGAAAAAGCTGAGCCAGGCACATAGAGGACTAGACAAGACTGGTGAATGTCCTTCCTGGGTGGAGATAGTCAGGTGCAGAAGTAGAAAAGGTTAAAAGGACTGCCACATGCCATAGAGTAGGGTTTAAAGGAGGCCCATCAAACTCAATACCATATAACCTCATCATGTAGACTTTATCTGTTGTTCAGCAAGCTTCACAAAGCACAAACCAACCAACATGAGTGTGTGTTTCTTTTACTGGACCTTGGCTGCCATATCTCAGTTATGTGTGCCAAATTTGTGCCCAGGAAGACCAAATAAAACACCTCATGCACATCCATGCCACCCAGCCATCAGACCAAGCTCCTTACTGCAGTAAAAGTCGATTTTCAGTTTCCTATTGGGCCCCCTTTCTCACTCTCTTTATGGTAAATGGGCTTTCTGTTGCCCTTTTGATGCGATCATTGGTGCTGTGCAATCAAGTGCTCTCTGAGCTGAGGCAAGTGCACTTCACTAGGTCTCAGGGCACACGCTCCAATCAAAATGCTGTGTTTCCCCCTGTCTGCAATAACACCACCATTACTTTTTACCACTGCTGTGCAGTCATTCACTCCTAGAGGAAGGCAGGAACCAGAGAACAAACAAACAAGCACACAGACAGAGAATGAAATCAGAAAGGGATTACTGATCCAGAAGCACTTTCTTCTCTGCCTTTATTTTCAGTCTACTTATGTTCACTGAAATAGGATGCAATTTTGCAGTGCTGTTATACAAGAAATAGACTATTTGAGCATGTTTTCTCCCTCTATAGAGGTTGTTTCAAACAACACCACACTTCACACTAAAATATAAGTAAAGACATAAACACATCTGATACAATTATCCAACAGCAGGTTATATTTGTGGTCAAACCCAAGATTAAAAACACCACTTCAACAGCTTGTTCTCCCAATGACCACACATATAGAAAGTGTCTTTTCTATTACCTTTGTCATATATTTATTCATGTGTGCAACCGGTCAGGCCTTTGATGATCCTTTTGTAATTATTTTCATTAGCTCCCTAGAGAAATTCCAGCCCATCAACCAAATCAATACCCACACCAGTCTCCACCAGCCAGAGCATAAAAGAAAGTGCTCCCCAAAGAGATATTATTTATTCTGCCAACAGACATGGGCACTGATCACAGGTAACCAATGGCAGCCTCGAACCTAGGCGAGACGTTTCAGACACTGAAGCTCCATGAAACATGAAAACCAAGATCCAGACCAAGATAGAGCAACTTTGTAATATGGAGAATGAAATGGCGGAGGCATTAGAAAGAAAGAAAGACCTCAAAGAAATTTCAGAAAGTATGAATTATGCATTAAATCCATCTTCTCCAGCTGCCCCTCACTTCTCCTAGCTCTCTGCCTCCTTTCTATATACTGTATCTCCACCTCTCCTTCCTTATATCTCTCTGTCCCATTCACTTGTTCCCTGTCCGGTTACATCTTACTCTAGCTGTGAGGGTGACAGAGTCATATGCATCATGTCATCTGAAGGGAAATGTGAGAGAACAGCAGGGGGACACTGGGGGTGGCAACAGAACGATGTTATTGGCCATCCACATGTCTTCACTGGCCTGTTGTGACACTTGCAAGCAACCTGTTCTGCACCTGAGGCCCATCTCCTTTATGGCCGGCTGTCAGTCGCGTTCCAACACGAGCACCAGTAATACCTCAATACCACAGCTCATCTTGGTGAGGTGTCACTAAAGTCCATTCCAAACTCATTACATACAGCCAGCCACTAAAATACTGCCTGGAATGGCCAGCAAAATCATCACAGTCAAGCCACAGTAAGTGAAATGAAGACTGTTCACAGGTGCAGAGAAGATTCTTTCACTTCATCTTCTGGTACAAGACAGGGAAGCAGTTCAAGCTAGCTCACTAGGAGCTCACATGATGGACTCTGTTCCACCTCAGTGCT